GCTTATAGACCTTGCAGCTCTTCCCTAACACTTACAAAAGAAGAGAGGAAAGACAGAGAAAAGACTCATGAAAGGTGATCACATAAGAGCCTGCTTGAGGAGCGCCCTCTTGAGTGGTGCCGACCTGATCCTCTTCGAGGTCGGAATAGTCAGAGTCCAGATCTCTGACGTACTTATCCACMAMCGCTTGGGGGCCAGGGGTGCCGCTAGGCCCAGACGCCCACTGCTCAGCATACCTCTTCTTCAGACCACCGAGATTGATCTGAAGGTCAGGCATCTCGGAAGCAATGCCCTTCATGAGAAACTTGAAGCCCGTGTCAGAGAAGTCTTTGGCAAATCCATCGAAGTCAGGATGTTGCCTAAACGATTCCTCCAATAGGACTCCGTTGCTGAGACGCTCCTTCACCGTCTCCAGCTCGGCAGTCGCATGCTTCAGCTCCTCCTCCTTCGCTTCAAGCGCCTGGATCATGTCGTCCTTCTCCTTGAGGAGTTGGAACTTCTCCTTCTCCAAGCTCTTGGTGATAGCATGGGCAGCTCGGAGCTGGGCCTTGCGTCTGTCCTCTTCTTTCTTCAGCAGCTCGGTCTTGGCCTCCACCTCGGCCTTCAAAATTTCCACCTCAGAGTGAGCTTTCAGCAGCTCATCCTTCATGGTGGAAGAAGCAGCCTCCAAGGCAGCAGAGAACTCCTCTTCCTCCCTCGCTGCCAGAGCTTCCCTCCCATCCAGCTCGGCCTTCACGGCTAGAACCGATTGAATGGAAGCAATAAACGCCTGAGAAAAGGTACAAAGAAGAAAGTTAGACCGAGCTACCTGTTAGGTAAATTGAGCAAAAATGAAGACACCAATTTTACCTCAGCGGCATAGTCAATGGTCCTCTGCAGGACGGACCCCGGGTCACTTACAAATTTGGACGCTCTTCTAAGGCAGCGGTCCAAACTTGCAGTCGAGATGCGGGACACCTGGTCCCTCACCCCAGAACTTGACGGCTCGACTCTGAACCGTGCTGTCACGTCGGACGTCCCG